TGCAAAATGTTAATGGTAGAGCCCTGGCCGGTTTGGTTCAGCAGTTAGAGCATCAGCCTGCGGTCCAGAGAGACCCAGGTTCGGTTCCTGCTAAGGGCACGTACCTCGGTTGCAGTTTGTCCCCGGCCCTGGTTGGGTCATGTGGGTGGCAACCACTCGATGTGTCCCTTTCACATCGATATCTCTCTCTCTCTCTCTCTCTCTCTCTCTCCCTCTCTCCCTCCTTCCTTCCCTCCCTCCCTCCCTCCCTCCCTCTCTATCTGAACAAAAAAGTAAAAAATGTCCTCAGGTGAGGATAAAAAAAGAAAATGTTAATGGTAGAATCTGTTATGTACATGGGTGTTCAATGTAAAGTTTCTGTAGCTTTTCAGTATATTTGACAGTTTCCATATACAAAGTGGAGGGGGGTGGAGAGAGGAATAACTACGCATCTAAATAATTACCCAACTACTCACTGAAACCTCTGAACTTGGAGAAATGCCAAGGTTCAATTCCAGATAAAGGGAATGATGGGAGGAATTGAACTGCCTTCCCCTTCAAGTAAAAAATAAAAATAATGCTTGGCAAAAGTTATAAAGATATTTAGAATTTTAAACAAAACACAGGAAGCCTGAGTGTCTGATGTATGAATCACCCAAAGAAATTAACAATTATTTTCCTTTCTCTAATAATGAAAAATACCACCAGTCAGTCATGAGATCTATCTCCTCTACCCCCTTTTTTTTAAAGATTTGTAAAATTGATTTTTAGAGAGAGAGGAAGGGAGAGGGGAGAGAGAGACAGAAACATTGATGTGAGAGGAAAACATCGATCAAGCCCACAAACTGTGTGTGCGCCCTGACTGGGAATCAAACTGGCAACTTTTCCATGCGGAGATGATGCCCAACCAGCAGAGCCACACCAGCAGGGCGCAATCTCCTCTATCTTAAACTGACACTATGAAAGAAAATAATAATGCTTGCTGGCACTGAAGAGAATGTGTCATAGAAAAATGAGTCTTTGCATCTTATGTAATATTCAGAAACCTGGCCATGCTTCTGTAACTCTCAAAATCATGTCTCCACTGCCCTCTGTCCCATTTCCCTCCCACCAAGCCCCAGCCAGCTGGTGGACACCCTCACTTGTCTTACGTTAAAGAGAAGATTTTAGCGGAGACTTAGGGTTATTTTTTAAACCTCCTGCTTATCTAGCTAGAAACTGAATTATTTCTTTGGCTTGTGGTCTTAATAGTTTGCATCTCAACCAGAAGTGCTGTTCTTTATGACTCAGTAAACGTAACATATTTGTTTAACAATGGAGCATGGGTGCCTTATTCCTGAAATTGGAAGACTGGAATCCCTTCTTACTTACAAACTACATGACAGTTACCAGGATTATTAAGGTTATAAATTTGCTGGCATATAGTATTTTTTAATGCCACATTATTATTATTTTTTTTAATCCTCACCCGAGGATATTTTTTCCATTTTTTGTACAGATAGAGTGGGAGGGAGAGAGAGAGAGAAACATCGATGTGAAGGGACACATCGAGTGGCTGCCACCCGCACGACCAACCAGGGCCGGGGACAAACTGCAACCGAAGTATGTGCCCTTAGCGGGAACCGAACCCGGGTCTCTCCGGACCGCAGGCCGACGCTCTAACCGCTGAGCCAAACTGGCCAGGGCAATGCCACATTATTTTTTAAAATGGGGATAAGAGGTATTTATAGTGGAAATACTAAACTCGTACATTTTTGTAGTACCTCCAGATTTCAAAGACAATCCCTAATCAAGTGTACAGAACCTTTTTTGCTCCCCCAAAAAAGTATCCAATGGACTTTGAAATTCTTGAAAATGTCAGAAATATGTTTTTCTTTTTTTTTTGTATCCTACCGGTAAGGAAGTGCTCACCAGGTGTTCATGGAAAAGAAGTATCCTCAAACTGTGGCTCCAAAGTGATACTTGGCTAGAATGAGGGGCTGACCCACCTGTGCTAAATTCCTGGACAGACAAGGCAATTTCTCTTGCTGTCTCTTTTTCTTTCTTTTTTACTCATGACCAACAGTGGCTGTTACACTAGAGAAACAAATGCTCAACTGCCACATCATCGCTGATGGCAAAAAGGAATACAGGGCATTCAGCAATTATATTCTTAATAATTTAAAATGTATAGTTTAATAAGGACTGACATGCTCAGCCCACAGATTCAAAACAATTTGATGGGATTTTCCAAGGGTTGCAATTTTGTTGACATATCTTTTTGCTTTTTGGGGAAGGACTTTTCATATAAACCCCAAGGCATTGGCTTGAATCCCTGTGGACCCAAGCATATGTTCAAGAGACTCACAAACTATCCATCATGGATAATTTAGATAATCACATGGAAGGAATTCCCCTTCGGTGCCAGCTGTATTCCCCTGTAGCAGGTCCACAAGATACGCGATGCCACGAGGTGGAAGAGGGCAGGTCACGATCAAGGTGGAATAGTGATCTCAAATCCGCCTTTAAGTTTCCATTTTGGGGGCAGAAATATCATTGAATTACTCATTTACTCAGTCAAGTTTCTCTGAATGCTTCTTGAAATTTTTATATTACTTGTTTTACATGCCAATCACAGAAGAGCAGATAATCTCCACTTATTGGGATCACAATGCTCATAAAATCCATCTCACAACACTCAACTATGATACCATCAAATATTATACAGCATAATATATGTATCATATGTGTGTCCCTTTACCATCTGGCATTGATATTACCAAGGTATTGATTTTTCCCCCCAGTCTAAGGACATTATAAATCAGTTATAAGTTTGTAACATTAGTATTTTGCTTATCAATAATAGCAATGCTATGATAGCCATTCTCTAAATATTTTTGCAGACTTCAAAATAAGAATAAAAGGCAAAATAAATGAACTTTTTTATAGACAAACAATAGGACAATAAATAGATAAAATTCAAGTGGTTAAAGCAAAGACATTCAAGTTAAGCAATACACCTAATTTTAAACTCCACAACTTCTAGCACAAACTTAAACACAAACTGAAGAATTAAACAATTCTCGTGCTTATGGTTTTTTGGTTCTGAATCACTTCGCTCCTGTTTCTATAGCCATGCTTACCTAGCACCAGCCTCTTGGTTCCAAGAACATCTGCTTTTCAGTTTCTTCCTTTATTAGGAGTAGAGCCCCTTGAAATCCAAATTTATTTTGAGGAACACAAAACAAAAGGCCTTTCTTTTGTTCATTACGTACCAAGCATGCTTAATGTTAATAAATCATTTAATTAGGCAAAGAGGTTGCAAAAGGTCTTTGAATCATGTTTCTCCCCTTTACTTAGACCTTGCCATTGAACAAAAGTCACATGTAAAAAGCAAGTGTGAGCTCACCAAGGACACGCAGCCCAAGAATTTGGAAATTTTACTGATTTCAATGTGGAAGAAAGGAGACTCCTCTCTAGGAATTATCAAAGATATGGTATATATAAATATATATTTTCCCTACATTAGCATAAGAGGTAGACAAAAGGAAAGGGGAACCATGCCTCAACATTAAACAACATCAACAGTAATCTAAAGAGACTTCTTAATAAATCAGGTGACCATGCTAATCCGGCTTGTGAAGAGTTGAACAAGTACATACCTACCATATGACCCAGCAGTTCACTCCCAGGTTTACACTTGAAGATGAATGTACTTGTACATGTGCACTAGAGGCCACATACAATTTTATGCATATTGTTAGTAATATTCAAAAATATTGGGAAAATCCAAAAGCCCATCAAACAATAATAGATAAATATGTTGTGGTATAGTAGTGTCATACAATGAATTAATATGTAGTGAGAAATGAATAAACTACAGTAAGTGCTCACAAAATCTCAATAGATTCTTGGAAACTGCAACTTTAGGCAAAATGAAGTACAGCAAAACTGATTTTTACCATAGGTAAGTGATACTCATAAAAGTCCCTACAGTATATGTCTAGTACAAAAACATCACCAAACTTCTAAATAAAGACCCAAAACTCTTCCAAGATTAAACACGGAAATAAATGTGAGCTATATATATTGTTAAGGAAGATTAATAAAAACGATTAAGATGACTATTTTCCAACCTGTTTATTCCAGTACAAGGTCAAGGGAGGCCAGAGCCTCTCCCAGCAACCCAGAATGTCATGTGGGAACCAAGCTTAGACAGGATACCTTCCATCATAGGACACACACACACACACACACACACTCACTCAGGACAATGTAAACACACCAATTCACCTAACGTGCACATCTTTGAGATGTGGGAAAAAACCCATTGCAGACATGGGAAAGATGTACAAACTCCACACAGACAGTGGCCCAGGTCACCAATCATTTTTCCCCCTCATCAACATTATAATGAAATGGCGATGATCAAAATGGACTATCCAAAGACCTGCCATAATAGTAATAGATGTCAACATAGTTGAATCTCAAAAAATTGAGTGAAAAAAGCAAGTCGTAGAAAAATAAACAGTCTAATTCCAATATTATAACATTCAAAAATAGACAAAACTAAACATTATATTTTGAAAGAATTCATCCTATCAAAAAAAGCAAAATAATTATTTTTTAAAAACTCAAGATATGGATTAACCGTGTAAGGAAGAAAGGAGGATTGGATCAGGGTAGTGTCTCTAGTGAGCTCCAAAAAACAAAAACCAAAAACAAAAAAACCCAACACTGGTAATATTATATTTTTTAAGCTGAACAGTGGAGTGTCCATTTGCTATTCTTCAAACTGGACATATATACATTCTTTTATGTGTATAATATTCACAATTAAGAGTTTTTATCTACAAAAATTCAATGATAGAACTCATCAGAATTGGTATAAAAGCAAATTAGACACCATTCTAAGCTCCTCCTCCCTATTTCAACTATTCATTATCAATTATTGAAAAACACTAAAGGTCTTACAACTTAATTACATGAAAGATCATATAAAGCAAGCTTGCACTGAGTATCACTTAAAATATTTTAATTATAACACATTTAAAAGGTTTAACATTAAATGTCCTAGAGAAGTAAAGTAGTTTTCTGTTCACCCTTTGCAAGTAAAAAGGGTAGATCATTCCACTACTGACATGTTTTTTCCAAAAAAAAAGTTTACCATGTTGGTAAGTAATTATTTTAATCTATTTAAAAAAGCGTTGATACACACTTTTTAATATCTTTACATATTTATCTGTTCGTGTTCCCAAAACTTTTGCCCTTTTATCCAAGCCAAATTTTTTAATTCCTCAAAACAAGATTAAGCTACACATTCCAACATCTAAAAAATTTCAGAGGAAACCCTGATAAAGAGTGATTTAAAGTCTGAATCTTATTTTTTCTCAGGATTATAGTCACTAGCTACTTTTTACTGTTTTTCTGAGACATAGCGCCTCAGATGAGTTGCAGCTGTGATACTGTGGTCATTTTGATTACTAAATCCCCTGAGGGATGACTAGATTCAGAGAAAGATTTAACAACTGAAGAGTGTAGGATTTTGAATATAACTGAATGGTTGTACCTTCAGTAAAAAGGGGGAAAAAATGATCCCTGGCTTTGAGTTTCTAGGATTTCCCATTGATCGGGGTCTGCAGAGGGAGTGAGGGGAGGGGCTAAAATTGTTGGAAGGTACCAGGATTACTGCCCTCCCCACAAATTGACCCAAAGAGACCAACTATCAGGCAGCAGAGATTTTTCACTAAAGATCATGAAAAGAGAAAGAAACAGAGAGAGAGAGAAAGAGAAAAGAGGGGAGGGGAGGGGAGGGAAAAATATATGGCATTAGCTTTTTTATTAAAGATACTGAATTGCTTTATATGACTGCTAAGAAAACCCTTCTTGGTTGTCTTTTCTTATCCATTTTCCCAGGAAACGTGTTAACAATTCAGCATCATGAGCCCAATTCTGACCAGAATCTCTCGGGGTGATACCCAAGAATTGCCTAGGTTATGCTGACATGCATTCATTTGTAAGATTCTGCAAAGGACTATAGACTTCAAGGGAGTAAATATGTATCTGTCTCTTTCAGTATTAAGTTTGGGGCCAATATTCACCAGTATGAACATAGGGCTATTTACAGTCCACACCTTTTCTGACGAATCATGTCAGTGCCACACTGGTACGAGAAATATCTTAATGCTACTTTCTCCCTCCCATCTCAAGTGCCAAATACAGTAGCCTGTAGGTATATAAAAATATTCAATAAATTTTTTTTTGAATGAGAAGACCAAAAAATAGCCTTAAGAGGAACATGTATCACATATCAAATATTATTTTGGTGTAAAGTCTAAAATTCTTTACTTCTTTGAAATGTGCAGCTTTATATCATACCAATTTACCCAGAATCCCAAAACCTAAAAATTTCGATTTTTTTTTTTTTTTTACTTTTTCAGTCCTTATTCTAGGATTATAAGTATGGAAGAACTTGAGGCAATAGAAAAAAAAAAAAATAGACATAAACTAGTGATGTTGCTCTGAGACATGGAAAGGGGAGCCCAGAGGACAGAGAGAGTATGTTCACATTGCACCCCAGAAATGGGGATTTGTGGAGAAGCAGCACACAGAAAAGGAGATTAATTTAGGCCAGTGGTTCTCTCCTTGGGCTGCATGTTAAACTTAGGTGGGAAGCTCTTTAAAAACACCAACCCCTGACCCTACACAAGATTTAAGTGACCCAGGAGGGAACTTGCCTCAGTCATATTTAAAAGCTCCAAAGAAGATTTTAATGTCCAGGCAGGGTTGAAACACACTTGTAGGCAAATTAAAAATTAGATTGTTCTCTCCCTATATGTACACCACAAAATCCTATGGAGATATTAAAGATTTCACAAGCTACATTGCTCTCTGGATCTGTGACTTAATTTCCAGGATAAAGCCTGGTAATCTGTATGTATTAGTCAGCTCAGGCTGCCATGGCAAAACAACAGACTGGGTGGCCTAAACAACAGAAATTCATTCTCTCACAGTTCCGGAGACTAAATATTTAAGGTCAAGGAGCCAGGATGGTCAGTTTCTGGGGAAAGCTCTTTCCTTGGGTTGCAGATAGCCAGCTTCTTGCTGTGTCCTCACTTGGTGAGTGAGGGGACAATTTGAGCTTCATAATCAGGTGGTTCTAGATTCATCCCCTAATAACAGTGGTCATATTTGAAACCAGAAAAGGCCCCTGGGACATCATCCTTCAATGTCAGCCAACTCAGACACCATCAATTCCTACTTCCCTCTGTCCCACTGAGCTGAAATACAGCCTCAGAGCCCTTCTTAACACCATGTTCCAAATCCAGTAGAAACAACACTCAAGATGAAGCCTATTTTCCATCACTACTCTAAATACTCTTATTTTATGCCATAAAGTCCATCAACAAATTTATTTCTTTCAATATACAAAGCTTGAATATACTTTTTAAAAGACTACACGAATATGTAAGAAAAATAATGGATGTTACTGAATGACTGCTACTAAGCAAGTCAGAAAAAAAAAACAACTCTGAGTTTTGTTAACACATGTATTAGATATAGAACAAACCAGAAAAGAGATTAATTTTTTCCAGTTTTACTTAAATATAATTGATATATAACTTTGTGTAAGTTTAAGGTGTACAATGGGCTGATCTAATCTACTTATACATTGTGAAATGATTACCATAGTAGCATTAGTTAACACCTCCATTACTTCACATAATTATCATTTCTCTTTTGTACTGAGAACATTGAAGGTCTACTCTCTTAGCAACTTTCAAGTCTTTAATACAGTAGTATTAAAGTATTAACTGTAATCACCATGGAAATTAGATTGCCAGAAACTATTCATCCTGTAACTGAAAATTTGTACCCTTTGATCTATATCTCCCTATCCCCCCCCCCCCCATTCCCCGGGACCTGGCAACCACCATGAGTTTGACTTTTTTAAATACCACATACAAGATGTATCTTACAGTATTTGACTTTCTCTATATCACTTATTTCATTTAAGCATAATGCCCTCAAGGTCTATCCAAGCTGTTGTACATGGCGTAAATTTCCTTCTTTCTCAAGGCTGAACAATATTGCATTGTATATATACACCACATGTTCTTTATACATTCACCCATAGACAAACACTTAGGTTGTTTCCATCTCTTGGCTATTGTGAATAATGCTGCAATGATCATGAGACCGTAGATATCATTTCCAGATCCTGATTTTATTTCCTTTGGCTATATATCCAGAAATGGGATAGCTGGATCATATGGTAGTTCTATTTTTAATTTTTTGAGGACCCTCCATACTATTTTCCATGATGATTACAGGAATTTACATTCCCACCAACAATACACGAAGGTACCCTTTTCTCTATATCATCGCCAATATTTTTCTCTTTTCCTTTTGATGATAGCCATCTTAACAGGTGAATTGATATCTCATTACCTTTTAAAAAAATTATTGCCAGTATTACAGATGTCCCCCATTTCCCCCCGCCCCATGTCCTCCTCCACCTAGCCCTTGCCCCACCCTGGGCCTTCCCCACATGGGCTGTGCATACATGTTCTTTGGTTAATCTCATTGTGGTTTTAATTTGCATTTTCTAATTAAAAGTGACATTGAGCATCTTTTCATGGTATCTGTTAACCTTTTGTATATCTTCTTTGGAAAAATGTCTATTCAGTTCCCCTGCACACTTTTTAATTGTATTGTTTGTTTTCTGTTATTGAGTTGTATAAGTTATTTATATGTTTTAGATATAACCCCTTATCAGATATATGATTTGCAAATATTTTCTACCATTCTGTAAGTTGCCTTTTCATTTTGTTGATGGTTTGTTTTGCTGTGCAGAAGCTTTTAACTTTGATGTAGTCCTACTTCTTAATTTTTGTTTTTGTTTCTTGTGCTTTTGTTGTCATATCCAAAAAATTGTTGCTAAGAGAAAGAGATTAAATTTAAGATATAATTTCCAAGAAGAGGTAGAGATGGAATCAAATTTAGAAAAGAAGATACATTTTCCAAAGTCATTTTTGGCAGAGAATGTCATTTAGAGTTCCCTGAAAGCCCATAAAAAGAGCAGCTGTCCTGTGGGAATATCTATTTTGTCTGCCTTCATTCTCCACACTGACATTTAACTTCAGAATTTAGGCATTATTTACAATTAGAGCACTGATAAGCTATGTTAAATAATTTACTGTTTTTATTTCCTAAATAACTTACTACTTCTCTGCTTCTCCCACACAATATTTACTTTCAGATGTCATCAAAAATATCTGCTGTGTTTAAGACTATCATGCTTCTCTAGACATGATTCAGTATGTAATATCTTTTGAAAACATATGAAAGCATCTGTGTTTATTAAAAGGAAATTTTATGTGTTTTTAAACGAAAAAGATTCCTAAACAATTATTATCACCAATACAGCCTTTGAGTTAATTTATCAAGTTCAGAAAGAGTCCATCAGATTCTCTGCGGAATCGCACCTTGCAGATGTATACTTTAGAGAAGCGACTCTGAAGACAATGAGGGAGACTGGAGGGAGGCGAGAGGCTACAAACAGACCACGACAACCAGCTAGGTGGGAGATGATTAAGATGGCTAAGGCTGCAGGACTGAAGCGGAGCTGACAGATATAAAACGAACAGGTCAGTACAACATAGTCAAAGTGAGTAATGAAGTTCAAAGGGAGGGCAAAAATGGGTACTGGGTGTCCCACTCAGGTAACTAGAAGGATAATTCATGACTGCCGGGGCAGCTAGAAAAATCTGAAAATTTCAGCCACTCCCAGGCTTAAAGACTGGCTTGGAAGTCTTTCAAGGTTAAACATGAGCAGATGTCTCAAAATCTGCCCCCAAAATGAAAATTAAAAATAACACTGGAAATGGTGTGACGTCAGCTCCGTCTCCTCGCATCACTGGGTCCTGAGTCACAGAGCAGCGCCTGCGGGCTCCAAGGCTTTGGACTTTGCCTCCACGTCCAGTGTGGAACTGAGGGCTCCAAGAATTAGACCACGTTTGTGATACCCTGGTGAGTGGCAGCCTCACACTGTGCAAAATAAGCTGTTTAGTTACCTGTCCTCTAGGGTCTTTTCACAAAATAACTCCTGCCAGGGAAGACGTCTGCAACTTTGAGAGGGTGCT